TAACTTTATTTCTAGAATTCCCCCAAGAGAGGAAAAAAAAAAATATTAGCCCAAAAAAATAATTCTACCAAATAATCAACATTTCAGACTATGTAGAAAAGTCTGATCACAAGTCTTGGTTCTATCACCTACTTATGTTAACAAAATATTTGTCGAATTACTTTCCTACGGCGAATAAGAAAAAAGTACTGCAGTCTTTATTAATTGTGGAGCATATGTTTTATTGAAGTATAACGAATAAGATCACATGGCTTTGAAGGTTGCTTTTTTATTTGCTTATTGCCGAATATCATTTTTTATCTTGACGACACATGCCTATTATTATCGTTCTAATATCTTTCTTTTTTTTTTTAATTATTGTAAGCTAAAACCTTTCGTTCTTCAGCATACAACCGATAATGTAATGTTCATATGTAATACTAAGGCCCTACTTGATAATTCAATTTAACATTTAAATTTAATGGATTCAAATCTTAATATGTTCAGACGCGTGTTTGATAATCAAAATTTGAACATGTGAATTAATTAAATGTCATTGAATTTTCTAGGCAAAACTTGTTCTCAAAAATAAATAATAAACTATTAACTTATTACTGGATGCGATATACATTCAAATATATTTGATTTAATGACTAACAATTTAATAAATTAATAAATTTAGATTTCAGATTTCAGATTTTAGTTTTCAATCTTTAGTTTTATCAAACGTACTGTGAGTCCCTGTTTGCATTTATGGGTACTTGTTCAAATGAAGGTTACCAAGTCTCTTCTCTACGTTTCGGGCAATCGGACATAAGGAAAATGGGATTAGGGTACTAGTTTTTGTCTGGGTCAACCAAATTTATTAATAAATAGACTAATTAACTCGTCCCCTCAACTAACTCATTGTCCCAAGCATCGCGCATGACATTTACTACTGCAAGTGAGCGAACTTGTAAAAAGAACATTTTGCCTTTCATTTTCAGTTTGTAGAGATGCAAAAAAAAAAAATGATTAACAAGGATATTTATGACCTCTTGAGTATCAGATGAGAAACGAATCCAGTCAAATCAAACATCCTAGTTATTTTAACGAAGCTAAAATTTTGTTTAAATGTGGTTTGTTTATTTGCCAAAATTAAAATTGAACGAGGTTTTTGTCGATTTTAAAAGCTATCGGACATAAAACGTCATTCAAATTTGGTTTGACTGGTTGGCCAACTAAGTTGGAACGAACTCTTATAAAATTGAATTTAATTCTAGTATCAAATAATTTAATTCATCTTTCATCCCCGCCAGATGATGAAATTGACTAGAGATCTTGTGGTTTAAGGGATGCCCTTCCCTGAATAATCAAATGTATACCAACAATTAATTAGAAAGGAACGCAGCAGAATAATACTCGAGAACTTTGTCCCGGGTCTTATGATTCTTCCATGGACCAGGCACCTAATTTTTGCAGCTTCAAATTAATGAAATATCATTCCAGTTGTTAGCATTATATAGAGCTTAATAGATCAGATTAAACACACTTCAGAGATACAATTAATCTGGAAACTTAAGATTTGGCATAGTGGATGCATTTGCCAGATTCGAAAGAAGCACAGTTAAAGAATGAGAATTTAATTTCAATCGGACTCGTGATTAATAATATTGGTTTAACATCAATTGGAATTAGTTAATGGCTTTCATGATTAATCAAGTATTAAAGAGTAGGATTTCACTCATCTATTATTTTTTTATCATTAAATCTGCTGCTGTAAAGTTAGTTTACCAGATGCTTCTTCATCAGAAAGAACATTTTTTCTTCTCTTTTTTTTGTTAAAGAGGATTAAACGTGGCTTTTCACTTATTTCCTTGATGAGTCGATCCCGTGACCTCTCAATTAATGAAGCATTTTACCAACTAAGTCGCACTTCATTTCCCTTATGTGTTTCAGCTTTAAAACAAAGATTGAGCAGTTGTAGCGTTTTTCACATCGAAGTTTAGTTGAAATTTGAAAGAGATCGAGGGACAAACTTCATGCCAGCCATATATATATATATATCTCGGACTTTGACCGAAAAAGGTTGTTCTTCAGATCAGCTGCATGATTTGATTAGGCAGGATGCATGACAATTAGCCTTAACAGAAATTCTGGTGTTTCCATAATCTCTTGTATTTTCTTGATATGTACGGACATGTTCCAACATCCTTAGCCTCGAATTGAGGATATTTAATTTTAATTAGTGGCCACAATCCAGTTTATACTTTATATCAAGCCAAATTAGTGGTCCAAATCTGGAATCATCCTTCCACACCCCTTCCCCTCCCTTCTTTTTTTTTTGGTTTTTGCATGGGATGGCTCAATGGTTTTTTTTGAGAAGTTCATATTCAAATGTGCTAATAGCAGTTCCCAGTTAACAAGCAATTTGTAAGATTAGAAGTAAGTCTCTAATTAGTAATTAGTGGCCTGCCTTGACATTAGGTAGAGTAACATGCATTTCCTTATTTTAAACTTTCAGAAAAAAAAAAATCCTAGAACAGAAATAACTCCACCAAAGCTGGAGATTGTCTTTCAGCAATTATATCAAATTTGAATCTATCTATCTCCCAAATTTTCATTCCTTTTTGGATGACCAAGTCTTTTATGAGAAATTTTTAAGAAACACTCTATTGCATTTTTCAGGCACTTTTTTTTTAAGGGGAGGTGTTTTGGCAAAATGCAGAGAATTAAATGTATATAAAAATTATCAAACACCTCATTGTCTCGCGTTCATGATTTAGAAAAAGGGGCTAAAATTCTCAACAGCTACTAAAACTATTGCCCACATTGACTTATGACCATCAAACAATTTTTTCGTCACAAATTAGCACTAAACTAACTAATCAGTACACCCATTGCCATTTTATCGATTATTATTCTTAATCTACAAAATATTCAGAACACGTGTCAAAATGTAAAGGTGTATTTGTCCACCATGAGTATTTTTTTTTTGTCAAAACATGGTTATGATTATTTTATAGATTAAGAGCAATAATCGACGAAATGGTCATAGATATGCTGATTAGTTATTTTAATGGCTAATTTATGACAAAAAATTGTTTGATAGTCAAAAGTCCATTCGGGCAATAGTTCAATGACTACTCAAGTTTTTTGCCTAAAAAAGGCTAAAATAACTATTAAAAATATTATTTGCACTCTTATTTTTTGTTAATCATACTCTTGCTATTATTTTAATCATATAATTATCATTTTTTAGATTATTTAATAAAATAAATGGTAAGACCGCAAATAATATTTTTCTAAATATTTTATACATGTACCCACAAAAACAAAATAATTACTCAGTCAAAGACACAAAGTAGCGCACCCTACTCCCCACAAAAGGGGGAAAAAAATAGCCCAATGACTTAGGCGCGTGAGGGTGACTTTGTTACCCCCCAAAACTGGAGTTTATACTGCGGTAACAAAGAGCAATATTAAAAGAGCAAAGTTATGCAGAAAAAAGGAGAATTGTATAGAAGAAAGAAGTGGCAGTAGTACACTAGCTGGTAACTGCACCAAATTGAGTAAGATTTTCCTTTTACTCTCTGTTTTTTCACATGAAGAAAAGGTAGGCATACATATGTACACTAAGGAATCCAGAAAAGAAACAAAAGGTTGCAACTATTGTAAAAGAGAACAAACACTAACAAAAGAAGAGAAATTATTGTAGGTTTTCCATTTTCTTGTAAGAGAAGGTCCAAGATTAAAAATCTCCTTCTGCTCCACCATTTATAAGGAGGGAGGAATTTTCAGTACTCGCTAGCTACCTTTATTACTTCAGTTCCCCATCTAGCTGGCTACCTCCTCTTCCTTCTGTCTATTTTATCTATTCTCATCCCATTTATGCACATGTACAAACTCCTGTAGATAATACTTCAGTGCCCCTGGCCTCTCCATAAGACAATATATATTCTCTTCTCTTCATATCCAAGAAGACCATCACACTTTTTCCTGGCTGCTTGCACACACACACACACGCGCTTGCCATTCAATCATAAGTTTTTTTGTACGAAACATTTTCAAGGGGAAAAAAAAACATGGGAAGAGGAAGAGTAGAGTTGAAGAGGATAGAGAACAAGATCAACCGTCAAGTGACTTTCTCTAAGAGAAGAAATGGTCTGCTCAAGAAAGCTTATGAACTTTCTGTTCTTTGTGATGCTGAAGTTGCTCTCATCATTTTTTCAAGTCGCGGCAAGCTCTACGAGTTCGGCAGCTCTGGGTATAGATGATATTCATATATATATAATATTTGTGTTTACCTTTATTTCCTTTTTGTGTATGTCAGAAAAGCTTCATGTTGAAGATTTTGTTTTCCTTAAAGAACCCAATATACTACTCTCAATAACCCATCATGAAAGACACATTTTGTTTTTTTTTTTAATTCTTCTTTGTTTCTGCATGTTTGTTATTTTAGTGCAAAGAGGAAAGGGCAAGCCCCGGTGGTCAGATTCTTATGAAACTGCAGTTCTTATATGTGGGCTTTGCTGCTTTTTGAACCCCTTGAGTTCCCTTTTTCTCGTTGTTTTCGTTCTGTTGTTGGGTTGGGACTTTGAAGGATTTTGTGAGTGTATTTTTGGTTTGAGGTCCAACGAGAGATCGACACGTTTCATGGTCTCTGAGAGAGTTCTCTCACGATCATCATCAATATTAGTACAAAGGTGGATGGATGAATGGATCAGACTTCAGAGAGAGAGAGAGAGAGAGAGAGGTGAGAGACTCGCTTACGAGGTTGTAGTTGTTTTTTGTTTCCAACATACTGCAGAGACTTCTCCAACCCTCTTGGATCCCTGTGCAAGATCTAGGGTTTCTCTTCCTTTTGTTCTTGTTCTTCCCTTTTCTGTAATATCCCTTTAATGCTTCACCAGATATTTCTGCAGTAACACTAAAAAGAATGGTGCTTTTCTTAGTCCATTGGACTCGAGCACGCCTTCACTCACTTTTCATCCTTAGATCTTTTCACGACACTGCTTTCCTATACGTCCTGGAAGTTGTTTAGCTATTTCAGACCACTTTTTGTTGCCTTGTTTGCCTACCAACTCAACAATAAGATCATCTTCCTGTATAATTTTGATAAGAAATTCATAAGAATAAATAAATGAATCGTCTGCCTTCTTAATGAGCACGATCAATGGATATCAGATCAAACCTCCTTAGTCCAAGGCCCTTTAACTAGTTCTGGATTGAGAACTTTCTGCCAGCGATGCAAGCACTGGACATCTGTTCGATCAGGAAGACACTTGGCTGCAAGATATCAATAACTACTATTAGTCTACTCAAACATATTTTTCTGTAGTTGGTTTGCTCGTTTGAAGTGCAAGCAGGCAAAAAGAAGAGTATGAGACAAGACCATAGCAGGCACCCCTCCAGGACAAAATTAACATATGTCCAACCACAAAAGGTAAAGCTTTTTCTCTTGGCTTAGTGAGGTTGGTACGGCATTTTTCAAGCCAACAATGGAAATTCTGTGAATTGACATCATAAAGACAGAACAAATTGATCCCACATTGGCACATTACCTATTTTTTTCCAGCATTTACCATTAAATCTTTGAACTGCATCTTGTAAAATTTTATCCTGTTAAGGGAGAGAAAAGCTAATTAATGCCCTTGCAAGCAATACACTCAAACTCCAAAACAATACGAAAACACATCTACAACTAAATGAAGAGCATAATAAGCAATCCAAACTATAAGAAAGTTGATACAAGTCTTAAGTTCAAACCAAGACACGGGAACCGAAACATTAAGTTTAATAAATACCTCTTCCTCTGTCCACCTTACCTCCAGGATCTCCTTGCAGGGCCACTAACCCTCCTGCTCCCAAGAAAACAGTTGTTTTAAACAAAAGTCTTGAGAAAGGTAGTACAAAATAAAATCATTCAATCCTGCCTCTTATTCATTGTTACGTGAAAAAGAACAAACGGAGGCTCTTTCATGAACCACAACATATTTTTGTTGCTTTGACATACCGATCAGTCTAACAATACGAGTCTTACCCTCCATAAAAACACCTAAATTCAAAAACTTTGCATGATAATTGTACACTCAAAAGGTGAGAAGTAATTGATAACAATGCTACTGAAAGTAAGATATTTTCCCATTCCACTTCAAAGTAGAAACCAGAAGTAGAAAAAGGAAACCCAAAAGCCCGTAAAAAACAAAAAATCTTGAAACAGGATTAAACACTGGAACTCTTTCTTTATTTATGTTCGTCAAATATAGCACTCAAAAGAAAAAAAAAAAAAGCAAAGGATAAATAATACTACAACAAAATAAAGGAAAGAGAATACCAACAAGCAGCATGGTGTTTCGGATCATTACTTTCACCTGTTCCATTACCATCCATGGCAACATCTGAAGAACTTACATTATCTTTCTCCCCATTTGCCCCTTCAGCCTCAGACCCTTGATCTTTCTCCATAGCACTTCGGTGTTTCCCCTCAGTTAAACAATGAAAACACAAAATTGGCAAAAGAACTTATACAGAATGGCACAACCATGACAATCTAACGACGCCGAAGCCAAAACCAAAACCGAAGCCTTTAGCAATCAAAGATCACAAGTCTATAAACACAACATGAAGGAGACTAAAACCTAGTTTCTAAACCCTTTAGCCAATACAGCCGAATATTTAAAAAAAAAAAAAAACTGTCGTAAAACACCGATGGTCGATAAAAAGCAGGCACAAGATGCTCAAATTAAAATTGTGAAAAGGGTATTTGCATCGTTGCCTAAGTATTTTTGCAGTTTTAGGCGCCTTTATATGTATTTGGAAAGGTTGTAACGGCTAGAAAAAAGTGGTGACAAGAAAGGAGTTTCTTCCCCAAAGGAGACAATAAATTTTTGTACTTCTCAGTATTGGGTCTTTTATTTGACTGCTGTATAAAGGAGTTTGAGATGGAAAAGGGGATTTGGGTTTTAGAGCTAAGTACTGAAAGAATTCAAGAAAGCTGTGAAGTTAGTAGATTGGGGAAGAGGCGGTGGTTGATTGGGGACACAATTTCGCGGGAAGCAGAGAACTAAATGAATATAGACCGTTAACGTCTGGAAAAAGGTAAGTAAGTGTGGAGTTCTATTATTGGGCTATAATGATGTGGATTTGCTTGGGTTTTTGTAATTTTGTCTTAAGAAAATAGTTCAAAATATCCGTCGCATTTTTGTTAAATAAATTTTTTCATCCTTCTCTCTTAAAATAATAATTTTGTGTCCCTTATAAATCAAATCGGTAAAATTTGATTCAAACATAGGTTTCGAACACTTTTTACTGTAAATTCATTATGTCACCTACACACGATCACTTTTTTAGTAGTATAATGGTTAAATCTCATTTGTAATTAAGAAAAAAATGACTCAATTATATTCATTTTTGCTCCTAAAAAAGTAGAATATGATCTAAACTATGTTCATTTTTGCTATCAAAGTTAGATCAAACTCAATTCGTATTCATTTTTGTCACTAAAAGAGTAGAATTTTACCTTTTTCTACATAAAAAATAGCTACATGTGGGTCACATATTGATTACAAGCTAAAAAGTGGTCGTACACTTAGCAAATTTTACTAATACAATTTTGTAAGGAACGTAAAGTTACTATTTTAAAAGTGAAGAACAAAAAAATTCATTTTGCAAAATGTCAAAAATATTTTAAACAATTTTTCCTTTTGTCTTCTTCTTTTATTTCCCACGATTTGAAGTTTTAACGTACAAAAGTTTAAAATTTGATTTGGGTATCACAAAAATACTTCCTCAAAGAATATATGTTTCACAATTTGCCACCTCCATTTGTCTATTTTGGACCAATCTGCACTAAAATTTTCAACTTTGCTTGATGAAATACAATCTTAAACAATTTAGCAATCCTAGTTTGAATTTGAGTTGTTATTTGAGGCGCAGATGTAGTAAGAAGAACACAAATATGCCTTCAAATAAATTAATAATTCATCGATATAAGTAAAATTTGTACTCATGAATCACAAATTGCAATTTTCATTCATTTTGGTCTAAAATATATTTGCCTTTTTATTCTTGTACAAGTTTATCTCTTACTATTGCTTTCAATGAGGGTATATATGCGTCTCTGTGCATCCAAAATGATGTAGTGGGATTCAATTTTGAATTTTGCCACGTTGATCATGTCATAATGATAAATATTAAAAAACTCTATGGAGTAGGTTGATCCAATTAGATAATGTGGGGGGGGGGGGAATGAGAATCATGTATATTTTGAGGGTCCAATTTTAAATTAACCTCTCAAGTTCCTGGATTTAATTACAATTTGCATCTTTTTTTTTTTTTACGAACCGAAAAACAGATGTTAATTTCCATACATTCCTCATTTCCTCCCACAAAATAAAGCAAGTGGGACGAAGAAACAGAGGAAAAGATTACCATGCAAGAAGTATAGAGAAAAAAATATTTAGCTGGACGGTAATGTCTAATTATATGTATGTACGTGTAAGAGAGAGAGTAATATAGCTTATATACCTTAATAGTCTTGTAGTAAATATATTTTATTGGAATGTATGAATGAGTTTTCTATATTTTTGGAGCAAAATATTGAAGGTTATTTTGATTATCAGGGAGGAGGGATGGAATGGGTTAGGTGGTCGAAGAAATGAGAAGTTTCGAATTTAAGTCCTCTCGCTTACACTATATAGAAAAAAAGTTATTTTGATTCAAAATTGCAAAATTGCAAAAATTTCGAGAATATGGAATCTTCGCTGGGACATTAAAAAGATACATAAGATAATTTTGGTGGATATATGCAATAATGGCAAGATAAATTAAGGGAATAGATCTTGAGTACATTTGTCCTACAAATGATTTGGGCATGCTAGCTCGGCATTGAAATAGAAAGTCTCTATACCCTTCAGGGTGCGAGTATTCCAATTTTGTCCTACCAATCAGCGTAAAAGGTTGTTAAAAGGTCAGTCATCAAAACAAGTGAATAAATTTTCTTTTCCCTTGAAAGGAAAGTTTAAGCATAGTTAGAAATATATTTCTGAATATGGCAAGAGCGAACTTCGACTCTTTTTTTTTTTTTTTTCCTTTTTCCTTCTAAATATTTGCTCATCTTTTTGTGCAATTACTTTTTTGTTTAACAACTACTCATTGTTAATAATCCTAGTAAATTTAAATTACTTAGTATTTCCTCTTTTGTATGATTCAATCGAGTAAGAGACGAGTAATCAAATCACTAATATTACTGAGTCATGATGGTACATGCGCTTCTCAAACGAAAAAACTGATTAAAATGAACTTAGAGACTAAATTACAACAATGAAAGACAAATATATAAAATTTGAACTTAACATTCAACTTTTGTACATGTATCATAAATCCAATTGTGCAAATGTATAGACTGTCTGTATATAAGATTTACTCAAATTACAATGCTTTTAGAATGTGAGAAACATGAATGCTTTGATTCATATGTGAGGGTTTTGAAAAAACATATGTAGATCAATAAATGTGAGTAATTATTTGTGTAATTTTTCTTAATAAAATGAAGTAGGAAGAAGAAGGAACCAATATTTAAAATGAACAAAATGGACATTCATTTGAAAACTAGAAGTTGAGCAGACATTTTGTCGTGTGACACTTAATATTCTTTTAAAAAACCCCAAAACTATATTAATTAAGCTAAAAAATGGCGAACTTAAATTAGGAATGTGAGGACCTAAAAATTATTTTATATTTTCTCTTATTTTTGAAAAAAATTAATTTATATTTTCTTTTATTTTACTTTAATTGCCTTAATTTCGTGGTGATTTTAATGGTTGAGTCAAAATTTTTATCTTTTCCCTTTTACAATTTAGTACATATTAAGTTTCATAGTGCATTATACTAGTGTGACCGACTAGTGAGGTATGTACCCTAAATTTAGAAGATTAGAAGAAGCTTTGTGTAAAAGAAATATTGTGGTACAAGGTGTTAAGAAATAATTAGAGATGGACTAGATATTTTAATGAATGAAAGACAATTAGATAAGGATTACATCTTGATTTGACACTTGTCACTCAACCATGAAGTCTTGACCAAAACTAAATTTTATTCTTATCCTAAACCAAGCCTTTATTACCATTTCTTCTTCTTGGCTTCTTGTTGGACGAAATTTGGGAGGAAAGGGGAGAGAAAATACTCCATTTTCTAGTTTTGATTTCTTGCTTGATCCATGAGAAATTCGAAGATTAACCCGAAACTATTGCAATAGATCTTGAGTGAAACTTGGAGGAAAACTCTTAGTGGAGTTTTTGAAAGAACAAAATTTGTCTTGCATCTTATTTTAGGGGTTTGAGGTATAAGACTAAGCAACTTTCCTTTTTCTTCTTATTTTTGCAATTTAATCGACATATGACTTGATTATGAAGGATTTCATGGAAGATTTCATGGTTTTATTAAGTTTATTGAATTTTCAACCTTGATATGCATTTTCTAATCTTGAGATGAATTTGATAGCTCTGATATGAGGTTTTCTAGTTTTGATATGAGAAGTTCTAGCTTTGATATGAATTTTCTAGTTTCGATATACGATTTTCTAGTTTTGGTTGAAATTTTCAGTTTTAGGGTTTAAAATTTCAGTTTTGATGTAATTTACTTGGAACTTTTTATATGTCAAAATTTGATAGTTTTTTATGCCTAGAATTTGTACTACACAGCCCTATAACATATTATCTTGATTGACTATGAATTTGCCATAGAATTAAGGTTGAATATTGAATGATTAACTTGAAGAATTTCAGGACATATTGTTGAATTTTTCTCCTTGTTGGTTAAGTAAGTGAGAGTGAAAGTTAAGATATAATTTAGGATGATTTGGACTTACTTTCTTGAAGTTGCTTTACACATAAGTTGGAAGTTTAGCTAGAGAAACTTGAGAACATATTACTTGATTGGACGATCGAGTGAGAGAACTTGAGTTTCCATTTTGCATGATGATTTTGGCATACTTTTGTCTAAATTATTTGCCAAGACTTTGATTTTTACATGTGAATGGGTTTTGAGCTAAACCAAGAGGTTTAAGCAAAAGAAAATGTGTTTTCTCCAAATTGTTTTCTAATCTGACATTTCCAACTTTGCACTTTGAAAGCCTTGTCCCATTTTCTTCACAAGTTTTGGCTATATTTGACATGTCCTTGCTCCGTATTATATTTGTAACCTTGATCTATCATGCATGAGGTTTTTCCTAGATTTGAATAAAAAAAAATGCTGCACTTTTGACAAGTTTTACGGGGGTTAAACATGCAATTGCTTTGTTTGCTAAGTGAAACTTTGACATTCATAGTTTTGCACTTATATTGGCATGAAACTACTAGATTCTTGATATATTATATGATTACAGGAATTGAGCATATCCAAGAGGATGAATCAGGAGTTTGAAGTGAAACGATTGTGATTCATTAGTGAGTGTTCCTTGCATGTTTGTGCAATAAATGACTGTGTTGAATGTTAGTAAATGATTGTTTGAATGTTAATTGGTTTTCAATGATTGTTAAATGAATTTTCAATAGGCAAATGTGTACTTTATCGTACTCGACTTAAGTGAATATGAATTTTTAATGATCAAATAATTGAATATTACTTGTGCATGAATATAAGTCATGTGTACTGTATCGCATTGACTGAATTGGTTCTAGGATGGTAACGGGGCGGGGTTGGGGCGGGGGACCTCTCCCTCATCCCCCACCCCGCTACCTACAAACTCCCCCCGCCCGCCCCGCTTCCCTCGCGGGGCACCTGCGGGGTTAATAAAATTTTTCTCGTTGGGTTAATAAAATTTTACTATAGTTAAATTTTAATAAATAATCACATCATCAAGTTATTATTCATTTTAATTTTACAATTGAAACTCATAAAAACAATCAAACAAAAGTTATTTGAATACAATCTAACATGATGAAATAAATACAACTAAAATAGTTAAGTTTTCACTTTTGGTACAAATACAATCGCTAATTCATTATTGTGTTTGTGTTTTTTTTTTTAAGAAAAAAGTGTTATTCTATTAAGTGTAATTAGAAATTTAGTATAAATGTATTAGTAAATTTAGTATAACTAATTAATAAATTCTATTAGTAGACATGTCTAATTATTCGTATAATTGATAATATTAATTATATTACTTACACTAATATACATTATATGATACATCTAACTAATAATATCATTATCATAAGTTTATAACTAATTAAATTACATATTATCTATAATTATATATATAATTTTTTTTTGGCGGGTAGCGGGGCGGGGGATGGGGCGGGGGTATACTCCCCCGCTCCCTGCCCCGTTTCTAAACGGGGGAAAAAATTCCCCCCAACCCCCGCCCGAGAGCCCCCCGCGGGCACCCGCCCCCATTGCCATCCTAATTGGTTCCTTGCCCTTTGTTGCCAGTTGACTCGAGTCAAAAGTGGATTCGGTCGGAGGCTGGTGACCCTGAACCACTGTTTTGGTATACTCAAGTATGACCACGAAGTCGGGTGAAGTACTGGTCAGTGAATGAAATGCAATGATTGAAACGAATGATTGAATGATTGGCTAAATGAAATGATCACTGTAGGAATTTTTATTTTCAAATATTTTTAAATGTCGAAGGTATAAGGAAGAAATGGACATAGATTGAATGACTGAATGAATGATGGTTTCAAGTGAACACGTATCCTTTTACTAAGTGTGTTATTATTACTTGAATGCTCTAAATGTTTTCCTTGAATTGTTGTTGTTAAATGTAATATGTCCATGATTTGCTACTTGAATGCTTGTTTGGGAATCTCACTAGATTCTAGTTTATCCCATTAGTTTGTTTTCCTTACAAGAGTTGAGATCGAAGCAGATAAGGTTGAACTAGCTTGTAATGATCCTCTTGCACATGTATTTTTTGGCAGACAGATTATATATTGGTATTTGATAGTGTATCTTACATTTTACTTTTAGGTTGTAATTAAATTTGAATTTTGATTGAATTGTAGAATTCAAATATTATTTTGGAGGTTTGAATGGATATTTTAAGAATTTATTGGAGTGAATATAATGAATTTTGGCGAGAGTTAGGCAAGCGGTCCGTCAAACCTTTGGGTACGCCCTAGGGGGAGATAGGGTTGTCAGAAGTGGTATTAGAGTTTAGGTTTGAATTGGCTTAGATAGATTGAGTGAGTGTAGTTGTAATTGTTTAAATACATGTATTTAAGTGTGAAATCTTGAAGTGTTAGGTGGTGAATCTTGTTTTATTTGTTTAAGTTTCTTATTGTCTTGATACTTGATTGTAATGTAGGAATGGAAGAAAGCAGTGAAAATGAGAATTTTGAGCGGTCTCGTCGAATTCTTAATTATCAGGAGCAGGCAGGAGGACCTATTCGTCATTGGGATCTACAGCGTAAGGTGTGACACTGTGATTGCTAGCGAATTTACTCATATCCTGATCGGGTGGTCCTAGCGATATACGATGAGAGATAAAGTTGACTAATACCAATAATAGGGCCTATACTGAGATAAAGCGCATGAAGGCAATGTTAATGATGCAAGTGATAGAATTCAATAACTTAAGGCCTCTATTCACGAGGAATAAGGATTCGACTCACACGCAAGAACTGCGTTGGCCTTTGTCACCTTAAGGGCTGATGGCGAGCGGGAATTCATGTTCTTCCGCAATCCAAGCGCTGACATGCTTCTCACTGAAGCAGAACTCGACAAAGATCTCATCAGAAAGGTAACATATAAATCAGGCTGGCTGCTTAATTATCTAGAAATCAGAACAGGGCTATTTCTGAACTAATTGTTTCTTTCCATTCGGAGCCTGAGAATAATCCTAACTGTTTTCAAATCGTTAAAGAAATTCAAGTCTGATGTGCTCCTCTGGGCAACTATATCTTAAGATTTTCAGTTCCGCAAGTGATCATAGCTGGTGGATACTCAATTATGTTGGATACACTTTTTTGTTTTTGTGGCATCATAGATACGTTTTCCCATCACCTTTTTATTTTTTTAGTCATTTTTTTATCTTACACACGTCACATCATAAAAAGCGTTACTGAATTATTCTGAATTTTTTTTCGAAATAATCTTCAATCCAAACACACTGATACACTTTTGTCTTTTGTTCTTTGCAGTCCTGCATTTTTCACTACGGCTCGATCAGTTTGATTGAGGAACCATGTAGATCAACTCATCTTGCAGCTTTGAAAGTAGCCAAAGAGGCAGGTTGCATTCTCTCTTATGACCCAAATCTTAGGTTGCCCCTATGGCCATCAGCTGAGGCTGCTAGACAAGGCATCATGAGTATATGGGATCAAGCTGATGTTATTAAGGTACTCCTATCCCATGTCTACCAAGATTTTAGACTCAAGAAATACACTATTAATTATTTTAAGTACTACTAGTCATGCTCATTATCTATGGAGGAATGCTAATTTGATTTCTGCATCCATTTTGGCGTCGCGAGTGAATTTCAGATAAGTGAGGAAGAAATCACATTCTTGACTGGAGGAGATGATGCTTACGATGACAATGTGGTGTTTAAAAAGCTTTACCATCCAAATCTTAAGCTTTTGCTTGTTACTGAAGGGCCAGAAGGCTGCCGATACTACACCAAGGTTGGCCTTAGATTAACCTCGGATATCTTGGTGAAATGAAAATATGCATATAAATCATGTGCAAAAGATTATTCAAAATCTTTATGCAGGAATTTCATGGAAGAGTTCATGGTGTAAAAGTCCAGGCAGTTGACACAACTGGTGCAGGGGATGCTTTTGTTGGCGGATTGTTGAACAGTTTGGCTACAGACCCTGATTTGTACAAGGTAAATAAAGCAGTATTTTCTACAACCTCACTTGATAAATCAGGCTAGAAGAAGAAAATCTGGACAATGATTTGGACAAAATTTGGACAAATATCAGATTTTTATCAAGTAACATAGGATCAAAAGCGTGGTTGCCTATCCAGAAAAGTAAATATATAAAGAAAACAGAAAAATATATATGATCAAATAACATATATAAAGAATCGAAACCAATTATATCAAATTGTTTGCAAAAGCTGTACCTATCAAGCGATCCAATAGAAAAAATAAGTTGGCTGGCCATGAAAAAGTGATTGTGAAACATACAGTTTCCCTTTTCAACTATATATGCCTCGAAGGAGTACCAATTGATGATTCTCATCAAGACGTGTGGACATAGGCCGAATGGTGGTCAGGAAAATCGTTCGGGCCGATTTTATGCAAAATGCACAAAATATAACTTTGTATGCACACGGTATAATTCACTTTCAATAACATGTAACTATACAATAAAATTTTATGAATCCAACACACAGTGTGAAAAACGATGTACAAGATGCAGTCTGAACCTTACACATAGTTATAAAAAATATAGACCATTAAGTGTTATCAAATCTTTGGTTTTGATTTTTTCTCTATTTTTGCAATAATGTAATTTAGATTTATTTGGAGCAATAACTAATTAAGAGGGAAATCTCACATATGAACCTCGTCAAAATGGCCAAATTGTTTCACTGAACAGAACCCTTCTTCTTCTTCTTTTTTAAGAATGTTCAAATTGTAATGTACCCCATGGTGCATAGACACTAGTTCTTAATTTTTGTTTTTTCCTTTCTGGCTGCAGGATGAGAAGAAATTACAAGAGGCCCTTTTGTTTGCCAACGGCTGTGGTGCAATTACTGTGACTGAGAAAGGAGCAATCCCAGCGCTCCCAACTAAAGAAGCAGTCTTCAAGATTTTGGCTGCTGCTACTGCCTGATGGAAACCCCTCAGTTCCAAGTTCTACTTCCATATTCTAATGCAGCAGCCACATCTCACAAAATTTAGGCTTTTTTTTTTATGTCAAAATTTTGTCCGTCTTTCCTTCTTATGAACCAAATTGCTGCATGATTTGAGGTCCCCATTTTGGTATGTAATGAAGCAAACTACTTGAATCCATTTTTTAACTTTTGGTATGAAATGAAGCCAATAGTAGACTTGCATTTTCTGCTGCATTATTTTATGCTTCATTTTGGAAGATCTTGCATTTTACAAAGGTGCTCTAAGTTTGACACTTATCTTAATGTAGCTAATTACCTCTTTGCAAAGGTCCCGCTAAAAAGACTAAAACCAATACTCCACTCTCTCTCTCTCTTGGAAATGCACTCTTTTAAATTTTTTTCCTTTTTTGGTTTAACTTTTTTAAGGATAAAGATCGGATATATAGGCTAGTAGAGAAGAAGGGACAAAAAATAAAAAATAAAAAAAAGACCACTTGAAATCTATTATTTTTCTTTTTAGATAGATGATTTTTGTGATATAATGTATGTAAAATAAAAAGATGGTTGAAAAGATTAAAAAAAAAGTGATTGGCAAATGTGTTTATGGTACAACTAAACTATATATATATTTTTTTTGTAAATAATCATGTGTCCAAACAAACCTTTTTTTGGGTAAATTACTTATTACCCCCTTGTGATTTTACTTAATGTTAGATGACTTCCCTAAGGTTGTAAAATAGCCATATAACTGTCCTGTAGTTTTATGTAAAGTGAAAAATAGAGAGAATGCACAATCAGTTATGATGTTTATACTAAACGCGCTTTAAAAGCATGTGTGATAAAATTTTAATATCCACATAATTCCTTTATGATTTGTATAAATATTCACTTTGTTCCCCATGTGATTTTTGTATTTATCCACGTAATCTCTCTATACTTTTATACAACATGATTAAACCATCAATGAATTTAGCATTTAAGTAAGCACTATTGGTATTTCAACTAGCCACGTTACGTAGGTTATTTTCCATCAAATTTTCGCTTTACACAAAATCATAAAGGATAAAGTCGATATTTTGAAACGTTAAGGAGATCATGTGACAATAAATGAAACAACAAAAGGGTTACATGTAACTTACCCTTTTTTTCTCTTTTTTTTTTTTTTAAAAAAAAAATTTTTTTGGTTTAGCAGAACTCTATACAGTAACACCTTATTTTCTAACCAAAAGCCAAGCCATGTCCCACAACAAAGTCAAAACACCTAAACGACCAAACTTGTAAATGCCATCAACCATATACATCTCTACTTTTTACTTTGTTAGATGCGTTTGATAATCAAATTCAATATTTTAATTTAATAAATTTAAATCTTAATATGTTCAGACGCGTTTGATAAGCAAAAAAATCTGAATTAATTAAATGACACTGAATTTTCTAAATAAAGTTTACTCCAAAAAATAAGTAATAAACTATTTACTTATCACTAAATGTAAAATACACTCAAATGCATTAATACTTGACAATTCAATAACTTAATATTTCGGGTTTCGGGTTTAATTTTTAAACTTCAGTTATATCAAACACACCCTTAATCAGTTGACTTCGCGAAACAACCCTTTAATTAAAACTTTTCTTCGTTGAATGTACATGGATTCTTTAGTCAACCAGCTCTTAAGTTCACAAAGAAGAAAAGAGAAAATTTTAAAGCCCATTCAGTAGTGGCGAAATAGATATATTAATACACCTCAGGGTAGACCCTGTGAAAGATTTTCTTGATCGTATTCCATTGGGAATACGATGCCAAAATTAATAAAGCTAACAACAATAATGCAATCACAGGTTCGTTTATCACTCTTGAGGCGTAATAATGCTCTCCGATTCTTGCATTCCACAGTCTAGCAGCTATAGGCTATTTTCATATTTGACATTGAAACAATCGTCATAATGATACGCAGTCAGCTTGCTGCAGATGAAGAGCCAAGCAGAGAAGAGTCTTCATCTCGCTAGGTCAGTTCTTCAACACTAGCTTATTTCTTCTCTCCGGTGGTCCAATAAATAGCCCAGTCTCCACATCTGAAACTTCGCTACTCTCTGTACAAGGCACAATCTCTGTGTTCTCTTTTGATGTCTGTGGAGGCTCTGCTCCACACTAATTAAAAAACACACACACGGGAAAGAAAAAAAAGAGAGAGAAAAAAAAAACAAATGCGAAGATCAGTTATTTCAGTTTTAGCTGTAGGAAAATTTCCTGAAACATTACAAGAGACTGGAGTCCCAGCTGTTTGGTTGATTTGTATACAGAAATTTACAGAATATATCCTCAGATCAGAAAAGAGAAACATGTCCAGACCCAGCAAGATAAGCCACGTACTAAAAGAAATAAGAAGAAAAGGAACTAACCTTCTCCAATAACTTGTCATTTTCAGCTTCTAGGACTTTTTCCTGGATGATAAAGATAGAACAAAGAAAGGCGTTACAGATGCAAAAGTGAGTACACTACATCCGCAGATGTACGTATAAAAATCCATATAACAAGTGAACATATAGGTTGGCGTTGACTACAAAATAGGATCTGTCATTTGTATATTTGTTGCCAGTAACCCCAGAATTTGAAAAACTGAATAGATGCTTTGCCCAGGGTTGTTTTTGGTTTTGGCATTTCTTCTTCTTTTCCAGAAGCTTTTAAGCCATTTTCCCAGCACCATTGTTTTGCTCTTTAGCCAACAACGATTGAAGGAAAATAAAGTTGTAAATGATCCAAGGAATTGTTTTGCATCTACTCGTAGCACTTGAGAGACTGAATTACGTTGTTTTAAACATTGAGTACCAGAGATGAGATTCAATGAAACCTTTAGGGACCATTTCAATAATTATATTATTCTTCTGTCAAAAACCCAAATGTAGAATGGAAATCTCAAATAGAAAAAACTTCAGCCATGTCTACCTTTTCTTTTAATTTTTCAATTTGTTCCTGGAACACTTGCATCTGAATGTGCACAAGAATTAAAAATGTCAGATTCTGTATATCATATTTTCTCAAGAGCAGTCTCAAGTATCTTGTTTTAATAAGAAAGACCTTTCTTGCTCGAATGCAGTTCACACTTCGTTCTAATTGGCGCTCCAACTGCTGCAGTTCCTCAACCGTGCACGAAACTAAGCCTTCCCCCAAAAGTTTCCTACAGCATTTTAACGTTCATTGGTAAAGGCCAACTTTCTATAAACCAAGTGAATGACTAAGCAAGAGTTCCCACGATAATTTCAGATTAGGCTAATAAAACCTTTTGGAAGCTTCAAGGAGCTCTATCTTCTTCACCATGCTTGCAGTTTCCTGTTTCAGTTGCTTCAATATAAAAGAAAAGGTACAATCAACAAGTTTGTTCTCAAGGTGTGAATCAAAGTTGCATTGACATACAGCTGCTTCATGCATGCTAAATCTCGATTCAACTGAAAGTACGAGGAGAAACAGACCTGCATATTCTGTTCTGCTGAGGGGTTGTTAGCTCGAACATCTTTTGCATGCTTCTGATAGCGTTCTATTATCTCCTTCATGCTAAAAATTGTGCATATTCCAGCGTAAATGCAATTAGTACTTATCCTTTACCCCCATTAATGCATACGAAATGAAGGGACACGGTTATCAGATTTCACGTTCTCTGAAAGCGCAGATTAAGGCATTAAGTTGTTCTATCATGTCAAGAAGAGTAGATCATCAAGCATAAAAACCTGAAGTCACAATACCACTCTCTAGAGGAGAGGGACACAAAAAGGACGAAATCAACAACCGGGTTGTAGCCAAAGCTCCTTTGTGATTGGTGAACCCTGACTCTCGGTCTCTATCATTGCACTATAGTATGCTATGTTTGTATTCATTTAGCTTGCTATTAGCATACTTTATAGCTTATAGTAACAATCCAAAATTAGTTTTTTGATGATTTTTCTACTCAGGGAACTAAATGGGGAGATTTATTTTATGCAGGATGTACGTGCACTATTAGCTACTTGATTCCTTTTTATATTTTTTATGGGGGATGGGTTTGCTAGTTCATATATGCATTTTTGTAAACTAAGTTATTCACATTAACATGGTAAACTACCTAGCAAGCACTTCATATGGCACATTGCATCATTCTTCAAAAGGCATCAGTTCATATTCTTTAAGTTTTTAACTCTGCCTGATTTCTAAATTTATGTTTCCGGAAACCTCCACCATTGCTTTCTTAAATCACTACACTTTGTATTTTCTCAAGCAGTGTGTCTACATTTTTAACTACTTATGTCTATCTCCTTTTCTTGGTCATTGTTCTCCCTTTCTTGGTGATTGTTCTAGCTACATATCACTAAACTGCCGCCAAGTATATGTTACCATGTGATCTCTAAGCATATGTTACCGCTAGCTACATGTGGTCTCTAGCTACATGTGGCCAATAACCTCTCTTGATTTTTGCTATTGCAATATTCCATCCACTTGGACAGATTTATCTGTCGCTCAACTTATTTTTCACTTGCGAAGATAATCCACGCTTCTGGATAGACTTTTTTCATCGCCCCATTTGATGTCATTGACAATTCACTTTGTGATTTTCACAATCACAATTCAACTGACAGGATATCATAACATCCTGAATCAATCTGATAATTCTTGAACCAATCTTATGGTCCAATCCTCACAAACTAGACACTCCATGGCTAACCTTGTGGTCTAACTCGATTAACTAATTTCTTTGCAATCTAACAGCAAAAAACATCCACAATTAACCCTCATAATCGATTCATCTTCAATGTCTACAAGCACCCCAAAATCAATTTCTTGAACCTAAGGTTCTGATACCAAATATAGAACCCCAAAAAATATATAGGAGACATTTGACAAAACCAATATGAGGGGAAGCAATTCACACACATAAAAATATGTGTGGGAGAAGAGGAATAATACCAGCAATATATCTTTTAATCACATCATAAGAACAAGACTCTCATTCCTTCACTCTTTCCAACTAAACACAATAATATGACTCCCTATTTATAAATTAAATGACTTGTTAAACAAGTCTTACAACTATAAGAAATTTTCTAATAAAATACTAATTCTTAAACAATGAAACTACCATAACTTGAC